ATCTTCTAATTGTATTGGGAGCATCCTGAATAAAAAAGAAATTTTGGGTAATATTTTCATTTTGATCATAGTGATTCTCCCAAACCACAGTAGTTTCAATTTAGAATACTCCTGCAATTTATCTTTAATATCACTTTTTAATTTGTTAAAATTTTGTTTCTTTGATTTTCGAGTCACTTTAACTATATTTATACCTAAATATTTAATATAATTACACATTTTGAAACCATATTTATTTACAAATGTTCATATTTATTGTAATTAAACACCATTATTTGTGTTTTTTGCCAGTTAATAGTTAATCCTGTTATTTCCCAAATTTTTCTAAATGATTTTTAATTGTATCCATACTTTCTAATGGGTTTTTAATGGTTAATAATGAATCATCAGCAAATAAATTAATGTTACTTGTATCATTTTTACCTAATCCTTTCATTAATTCATTATTTTTTATTGCATTAGCTAACAGTTCTATAATCATGCAAAACAATATTGGTGAAAGTGGACAGCCTTGTCTTGTACCTCGGCCTAGAAAAATCCACTCTGTTAAACCATCATTCACTATTACTTCTGAAGTATTATCTGAATATAATTTATCTATAACCCCAATAAATCTTCTACCAAATTCCCAAATCTTTATAAAAACAGCTTTAATGTTGGCCATTCCACACAATCAAAGGCCTTAAATATGTCTAGTGATAGAACAGTTGCCTTTGTTTTTTTTCCTTTTCTACCTCATATATAATGTTCAAAATTCACCTAGTTAAATTACGGTACCCATTGAAAATTCACTCTGTTAAACCATCATTCACTATTACTTCTGAAGTATTATCTGAATATAATTTATCTATAACCCAAATAAATCTTGTACCAAATCCCCAAATCTTTATAAAAACAGCTTTAATGTTGTCCATTCCACACAATCAAAGGCCTTAAATATGTCTAGTGATTTGGAATAATAGTTAATTAATGTTTCCAAGAAGGTGGCATTGTCTCTCCTTCCAATATTTTATTATAATACATGTTTAGCTTAGGTATCAAAATGGAACTAAGATGTTTATAATATTCTGGACCCATTCGACAGGCCCTGGTGTTTTACCATTTCTCAGTTTATTAATAATTCCAGCAATTTCTTCTTCTTTAATCTCTTCTAATATTTTTTATCACATTCCAATAACTTAGTTTTTAAATTCTCGTTTATATAATTTTCTATATCCTCTTTCAGTACATTGTTTCCTTTATATAATTTCTGACAAAATTCTTGAAAAATCTTCAATTTATCTTTCATTATATTACATCTCTTGCCTGTTCTATATTTAATTACCCCAATCGTGTTTTTAATCCTCTAATTTTGCACTTCTAATTTTGCACATTCTAGCTAATAATTTATTGCTAAATTCAATTTATTGCTAAATTCAAAAAATCCTCTTTATATACATCAAATCCCTCTTAACTTTTTCTGTCTCTAAGTTTTCTAGTTCCTTTCTCTTTGCCTGAATTTCTGCCAATATCCTTCTATCTCTTTCTAAAAAAAAATTGCTTTCCAAATTTCTCAATTCTTTTTCCAGTTTTTTCACATTTATCTCCTTAATTTTTTTTCAGTTTACAGGATTCCCTTATTGTCATTCCTCTTGGAATTGCTTTCGTCATGTCCCACAAGAGGCCTAATTTTGTACCTCCTGCTTCAATATTTCATTTGAAATCTTTCTCAGTCATCCCCACATTTCCTTCCCTAAATCAGTCCGTCCTTTGAAATACATTGACAGCAGGCTGAATCCAACTTAGACATATCGAACATAACCAAACGAAAAAAAGGGGACTTAAATTTCTGGTGATCAACTTGTCCCATTGATTCCAGTTGGCCTGCTCTGTGTTATGTGCTGCCAAGTCAGAACTGACTTTCAGCAACTCTAATGTGGCTTTCAAAGTAAATGAGAAATTTAAGGAGTGATTTTACCAGTGCCATCCACCCATTGAATTTCCATGTCTGAAATATGGAATCCATATGATCCATACGATCTCCTAAGTCCTAGTATGTCACTTTGTTCACCACGTCAAACTGAGTGATACTGCAGTAAGTATGTACATATATGGATCCAACCCAGTATTTAACTTGGAAAATGAAACCTGTTAAATCATCCTAAGAAAGCAATCCAGATTCTAAAAGTCACTTGTTGCATTTTAGTAAAGTGTGACATGCTGAAGCCTTGCTTCTGTGCTCTGCCTGCTGCATGGTTAGAGACAGTTCAGATTGTACAGAGTAGCATAATTAGGATCTGAATGCTAAAAGTTGTAAGATATGTAGGTAGAATTGCTGGAACAAATGAGCTGTCGGAAGGAGTTGTAGGATTCAAAAATATTAAAACTGGACAGGGTGTGTGTGTGTGCGATATCCCCTTTTTAGTTGAACAAGATGATATTGATGGTTGTTGCGGGTTTTTCGGGTTCTTTGGTCGTGCTCTGAAGGTTGTTCTTCCTGACGTTTCGCCAATCTCTATGGCCGGCATCTTCAGAGGACTGGAGTCAGAACTCTGGCTATACTCTGTTGCTGTTTGTTGGATAGTTGGGTATTTATAGCTGTGTGAACAGCTTTTGTCTTTTTTCAGGAGATAAGGTGATCAGCGTGTTTTTTGTTGATAAGGGGGGAGAGATTATCTTCAGCTGAACACAGCAGAATGGTTATATATGTGATAAAATTTTGTTTTGAAAACATTATTGGAATAATAATATGGAAATTGGTTAAGTACCTGTGCTAAACAATCTAAATGTTTCTTCACTGTCCTGATATGTCAAGGCAGTTATAAAAACAGAATTTTGCCATTATGTTTTATTGCGAAAGAGAGCCGTTAACTTGTGAGGATGCCGTGGTTGTACATTTAAAAATACTCATGTTTGTTTCAGGAAATACAGTTCTATACAGGAAGTCTTGGATATACCAATCCTGAAATCCAAATAGAGGACTCTTCAGGGTTAACATCTGGGAAGGAGTGAGTACAGCTAATGAAAAGTTGTGTTTCACATAATTAAGCTGGCCTAGACAATGTTCTATTGCCATACTTAACTTAGACATTCTCCTAATTACAAGTGGAGAGGCTAAATTCTTATATGAATGAAGTATAAGAGAAAGTGGTCTTTGTGAATCACACATATGATTTCTTTTTGCTCCTGTGCAAATGTCCTTGGCACATTCTAGAACCTAAAAAGAGTAGTAGAACACTCCTCCACCACACATACTCCCCATCCTGTATCTAATCCTCCCTTCTCTTTCTGAGGCTGCTGAGAGAACACCTGACCAACTTCTCTAGAGCCTTTGCATATGCTGAGCAGGCCTTCTACAGTTTGCATATACTGTACAGTTGTGCCCCACTTTACGATTACTCCGTTTAATGATGAATCCGCTTGACGGCGATCACAAAACGATTCCAATGGGCAAAAACCGCTTTGCGATGATTGGTTCTCTGCTTCGGGAACCGATTTTCGCTTTACGACGATCAAAAACAGCTGATTGTTGAGTTTCAAAATGGCCACCGGCTGCGGCTGAAAAAAAGTCCCCCCCCCCCCCGCTGTGCTTAGGGACAGATTCATCGCTGCACAGGCATGGGAAATGGCCGCCCCTATGGAGGATTCTTCACTGGACGGTGAGTTTTCGGCCCATTGGAATGCATTGAAAGGTTTTCAATGTGTTTCAATGGGCTTTTAAATTTAGCTTTATGATGTTTTCGCTCTACAGCGATTTCGCTGGAATGAATTAACGTCATTAAGCGAGGCACCACTGTAGTTATACTTACCTTGACTACCTTTTCCCTTATGAGCTCCATCCTAAAAATATATTAATAAATTGTTAGTTATATTTATCATTCATTGTAGTCATAGTCATTGGTTAATGGCCATTCCTGTGTTTTATGGTCCCAAGGCCCATTTATGAAGTGTGTCAACTGCAACAACAGTAAGGTTTTCCTCACTGACAGACTCTTAAACGCATTCCATTCCTGTGTTTTATGGTCCCAAGGCCCATTTATGAAGTGTGTCAACTGCAGTGAGGAAGTGAGGAAAAAAGGTTTTCCTCAGTGACAGACTCTTAAAGGCCTTTATTGCCTGGGTGAGGTGCATCAAATACAGAAATGCCAGTTATGTTGTAAATTCCCCAAGGCAGCCATCAAAAACCAGCTGTGTCCCCCTTGAAATTATAACTTTGGAAAAAGTTCTTAGGCCCATTTATGAAGTGTGTCAACTGCAGTGAGGAAGTGAGGAAAAAAGGTTTTCCTCAGTGACAGACTCTTAAAGGCCTTTATTGCCTGGGTGAGGTGCATCAAATACAGAAATGCCAGTTATGTTGTAAATTCCCCAAGGCAGCCATCAAAAACCAGCTGTGTCCCCCTTGAAATTATAACTTTGGAAAAAGTTCTTGTACGTGGTCAGCACCATGGCCAGAGACCACCTGGGTTCCAATAGAATTTATTTATAAAACACCTTCCAAGCAGTTTCTTATGGAGGCACTCCAGTCCAACACTACCTCCACTAAAGTCCTTGAGGAGCCATCTACTCAGCTATGACTCAGTGCCTGTCTTGTTTAGGTGAAAGATACCAGCCCCAACAGGGTCAGTTTTGTGAAAGCTTAACCAAAGTTGCTATAAAAAATCATCAGTCCTGCCTTTGGGAAGAATCAACACCTTCCAAGCAGTTTCTTATGGAGGCACTCCAGTCCAACACTACCTCCACTAAAGTCCTTGAGGAGCCATCTACTCAGCTATGACTCAGTGCCTGTCTTGTTTAGGTGAAAGATACCAGCCCCAACAGGGTCAGTTCTGTGAAAGCTTAACCAAAGTTGCTATCAAAAATCATCAGTCATGCCTTTGGGAAGAATCACTTTAGGTGATAGACACTATTTCAACAGCGATCCTTTCACCAGCCTCTGCCATAAGCAAAATGGCACGTAAGAAGCCAGCTATAGAGGTCCCCCAATCAGCTACACCTCCAGAGCAAATTCTAGTAGGCTAGGCTGATCCAGTGGATAGGCAAGCAACAGCTCCCTCAGTTGAATCTTTGGAGCTCACCTTGACTTTGAAAGGACCAAAACCAACTCCTGCTAAAAAAAAAAGGAAATAAAAACATTGGAATCAGAACCACCTAGACATATGGAAAAGACTAATTTGCAAAAGCTTCCTCGAAAATTGCCTCCTGGTGCTTCTCTGTTAGAACAAGATTTCTTGGCCTGTCTCAACTCCAAGTTGGAATTGGAAGCTCAAAACAGAGCTCTCACACCCCTTTCAAGCAGACCATCAGAATGGGATATTCGTGCTAAGAAAGCCCTTGACAGGTTATGACCAGCTGCCACTCATAGCTCAAAACCAATACCCTCCTTTCAGGGTGGGGTCTCAAAAATCTCCTCTCTTTCCTCTAACCTTCCAGACATGACCATTCTTCATCAAAGTCCAAGCAAATCCTACTATCCAATAGAAGATCCAAGACCAGCCTTTATCCTCTGTATGGTTTTCAGATCCCTGAATGGGATCATCATCTTTCTAGGCCTTACCAGCAAAAAAGCATTTTGGATTCTATAGAGGATACCCTCTTGTGGTCACCTCTTTCCTGTTTTGGCATCAAAAATCCTTTAGATTCCATTCCAGATCATTGGAACTGAGGCAAGGATCTCATTACTAGAACATTGGAACTGAGGCAACAACATCATTCTAGATCAAGATGAAAATTTAATTTGACATCATCAGAACCAAAAGGATGATCCCCATTGAAATCCCTTGGTATTGAAGTGGTCTTTGATATCAAGGTAACAGTCAACATGCTGACCACCTACAACTATGAGATGCAAGGTTACAAAACCATTGAAGCAGTCACTACTATCTAAACATAAAGCTGTTGATGATTGTGGGAGGCAGATCCCCTTGTTTGCCTTCTCCACCTATGCAACCAAAGTGGAGTAAATTGTTAGCTCCACAAAACACGACTTCACTACACTTTCTTTTGCATCAGGCTTCAGTTTGAAAGTCTCATCATAAGTGCCACGGTGCATGTTCTTGCACACACACCCCCCCGCCCAAAACAGTCTTTTCTCTGTATCCAACAACAAGGCCCCTCCTTGGGACTGGACTACAGACACTGATCCCCAACACCTGATGCATCTTGGCATCGAAGACCTAGCCTTGTCACTAAGGATCCAACGCTTTTGATCCTGAAAACAAAAGCTCGCGCAATTAACCACTGGTAAAAAATCATAGTACTTCTCTAACCAAACAATTAATGAGTCATAAAAAAGACAGGAAAAAGGTGTACTCACCACAGTTGATTCTCCTTTATGCCGATTCCAATCTGAAATAGGGGAAAAACAATCTGTCATGGCCTGTGCAACTGATTCTTCTTCCAATCTGTGAGATAACTCACACAATCTATTTGTGAATCTACTCTGAATTCAGACATTCAAAGCCTCCATCTCCTTTGTAAGATCTTTCATTTTATCCAATCTGGTTCAATGTATGAACATCAAGTCACTCCAGCTTCCAGTTCATCAACCCCTCTTCACCATTCAGATCCAGTCTGTGATTAAATCACTTGTACTACTGAGCGAACTATCTGCCATCTTGTAACTGTGCATTTATTCCCCTCCCCCCTGTGTAGAACTTTGCATTTATCCCTGTTGACAGTGGTTCTGCAATCTCTTCAGCAAGTTCCTTCAATATCTTTGGATGTGGTACATCCGGCCCGGGGATTTGAACTCAAAGTAGTAAAATATTCCTTGATTATTTGTTTATCAATCTCAAGCTGCAATCATATCCCCTCCCTTTGTACTTCACATTTGCCAGAGGGTCATTGTGTACCTGAACCACTGTTTCTTTTCTCTGTCTTTTTTTATGCATGTACCTGAAGAATGCTTTTTTGTTATTTTTAATGTCTCTTGATAACTTCAGTTCATTTTCAGCTTTTGTCTTCCTACAAAAGCTTCAGTTCATTTTCAGCTTTTGTCTTCCCTGCAGTTATTTACAATTTCTCTGTACTCTTTCTTGGAATGCTTTCACAAATCCAATTCTGAAGAGATTCCTAAGGGACTTAAGAATGCCTACCCTGACAGACATTCACCCAGCCCAAAGATGTCACTTCCTTTGTTTATTTGGTTTTCACACAACTAACAAAACCCAGTTTGAAGCAATGGATATTTCTGATCTCCATATCCTCTCCTACAAGACCCACTTTCTGGTGGCAGTAACGTCTGCTTGTAGAGTTAGTGAATTAGATGAATTAGATGCACTTTGGTGTAATTTACCCTTCTTACAATCTTAGAAGGACAAAGTGTCTTTCTCTCCTGACCTCTTCTTTCTACTCAAAGTAGAAAATCTTTTATGGTAAGTTAGAAACCAAAGAGGAAGGACTGTAGTTCAGTCCTTCATCTTTGCATGGGTTCCATCTGTGGTACCTTCAGTTCAAAAGCTCAGGTGTAGATGATGGGAAATGCTTCATCTATTTGCAAATTTGGAGGGTTGTTGTTGAGCAGGAGCAAAAACTAATGAAACAGGACACACATGCTTTTAGTGCAACATAGTTGTAGTTACAGTTCCAGTAATCTGCTAAGTTTTCCATTGCTTTTAGACAAGTATGTGAGATCCAAATATGAGACATGATGCAAATCTGGCAAAATGAAACCAGTCATATACAAAGTTAATTCAGATAATAAATTAGCACAAGTAAGAAGAGAACACTTCAAGACAGAGTGACATAGCAGATAACCAGGCAATCATCAAGTTTTATCTTCATGACTACATCTGGGTTTTTAAAAAAATGTTATGCTTATTTGTCCAGACTAAATTGACTCATCATAATATCGTGGATTTTTTAAGTCTTCTTAAAAGTTGTTTGTTTGACAAAAGTTTCAGAGCCCTTTTACTTACGTTGTCTGTGAGAGCCCCTGGAGAGCCTCTGGCAGTAAGAGATGACAGTTTCTTCTTCGTGGTCTCTGTGAAATCACACTAATGGGTTAATC